AGTTGCGTTTGTGTTCTAATTGGTGGTACAATGGACTGTTTTACGGTAGATCATATAGGCCTAGCGCAGCGTTTCCTGAGTTTCCTTGTTAAGACCAGCCAACTGGTTGAACGAAGTCAGAAATAAAATATACCTCTAATTTATTTCGTGTTAATGTTGTCAGAAGACTAGAGACAGACAGACAGACAGACAGACAGACAGACAGACAGACAGACAGACAGACAGACAGACAGACAGACAGACAGACAGACAGACGGGGTTCAAACCTTGTCAGGAACCAAAATGTTTAATGTGTTCTTGGGAAAGGCACTCTCATGAATGTTCCTAACTTCACCCAGGATGGATACCCGGTTTATTTGGACAGTGAAAGATTTGTCAGTTTGTAAATAATCACGACCTCATTGCTTTCTTGTCCAATCGCCATTTCTAAAAACAGTGAAAACAGTTCATAACAAAGAGTGAGCTTTAGAAGAAGTCACATTTTCAATGTTAAGAAAAATGGAGATAGGACAAGAAAGCACTGAGGTCGCAAGATGTCTGAGAGCGTACTGGCTGCTTGAACTGTATACTTTCCGTGAAGCTGAGAGTATTTGTGGGTGTTCTTGGGGCCTGCTCTGGGTAATCATGTCGTTGTGTAAAGTGGGTGCTACAAAAAGGCATGGGTCATCATCATTGCCTTTTTCAACCTGGATCAGGATCGATGAATGGGTGGTCGGCGGGTGCTCTGGTGTGGTTTACTTCTTCTATCCTATCAAACATCTATTGTCTTTATCTCCCCTTTTTCTTTTTTGTGTGTGTGTTTGTTACTCTCTTGTAACACTTATAATGTTATAATCTTCGGTACTTATGTAATCTTATTGTGTCGCGAGTGCCGTAAAACTCTTTCGAAAAAAAAGGATCCATAAACAAACACTTTCCACCCTTCCTTATCCTTGGCGAGTCACTCGATGTCAGTCCATGTCGTCTCACTTTTCTATACACCCTTTCCCGTGACTCTTCTCCGGGTTCCACGATGTCTACCCCTTGAACGTTTACCCTGTGGGTTTCACTCTAACTCTTTCCTTGCAATGCAGTTGCTTGGCTTCCTGAAAGTGTGTCCAATCCACCGCCAACGCCTTCTTCCCACCTCACCTCTGACTGGACTCTGTCTCGTTTTTATTAATACTTTCGCGTTGGAGATCCTGTCTGCCCGTCTGATCATTAGTAGCTTCCCCAGACACTTGTTCAAGAAAACCTGGAGCCTCTTTATGCACGTCTGAGATGCGTTCCATGTCCTACATCCACACAACAATGATGACGGTCATACAAACATGATGATGATGATCGTGCATAATGATGACGAAAATGCATGAAGGTGAAGTTGATGATTATGATGAGCATGTCATGAAAATCAAGTTTATTAAACATGTAATTTTGTCAAAAACGAAAGTAGACGTATGCAAGAAATACAGAGACAAAAAGTCACCGGCCTGTTGCTGCAGCTGTCTAATAATTGTCATTATGTGAAATGTACAACTTTTATAGCGAAGGGTGTGTGCAAGGGGGTAATATTACAATTGTAATTGAGAGATAGTTGCAAACGTTCACCTGATTTCTTGTTCTTACGAAGATATACTTCTTTTAAGGATATCCAGCCTCAAGGTCAAAAGCGAATAATAAACATACAAATACAAATAGCTACAGTTCGAGGGAACTCTTCCAAAATAAAGGACGGCCTCATTAAGTTTAAGTTTAATAGCAACAGAGTTGTAATTACAGCAATAAAGACCAGACTTTCAGTGGAGGAGACAAGTGGAGCATTTCTATTAAAAGTATCAAATTATGATTCTTATAGAAAAAAAAATGATACTCTGTCGAAAGTCGGGAGTACTGCTACCAAATGGATGACTTATAACTCAACTGACAGTTTTCAACTTTTGTTTTTGGGCTGTGCTTTTCAATGCATTATTCCTATAGCGTTCTCTGATTTGTGAATGTCCATGACAACTTGCGCCTGACGGAGGGACGGGAGAAGGGTCTGCAGCGTCTGTCGGGTCACGATCCTCTGTCTGTTCATTGATGAGGTGCAGTTGTTGAATTTCCCCAACCGAGGCTGTCGGGTTACGAGATTTTGGCTGCTCATGGGCGTGGAGCATTTGTTGGATTTCCACAACCGTCACTCGATCTGACGGCGAGGGACATAACAGACGTTCAACACATTGTCTGTGCAAGTCTGGAATCAACACCTTGTCTTTGCTGTTGCTGCCTCTGCTGCCTCTGCTGCTG